TAACCGTTCATTGATTTATATCGCATGAATCTTTACAGACAAGCTGCGGCACTCTAATGCGAAGTAAACTGCAGCGTGTGTGTGAAGAGGAGGGTGTGAAAATGTGTCAATCAGGCTGCTTCCTGTTAGGATCTCTGTGGTACCAGGCTCACCACAACGGATGATACATATATTTATATATAATGTATAAGTGTTCATGCTTTTTTTTTCTACAGTATCACAGTCATGTCAGACTTCCGCAGAATCCAGATGCAGAAGTTTACTCACAGCTTCCACTGATCACTAGTTATTAAAGTGCAAATGTTTGCAATGCTTATCAGTCTATTAGTGATCCTGTGCAGCCTCTGGGAGCTGGCAGTGGTACTGTGATTGTGGTAGCTTCTACTATTACCCCTCTTTGTTTTGTTAATATTACCTTTACTTCCTCATGAACTTTTGCATAACTGGAAAGAACAGCAATAGAAGGGGAAAAATCAATATGTTTTAAACTTCACTAACACCTGTGACGGGTGATAAGTGAACATCATTTTTGGTAAAAGGCTGGAGTACCATAGACACTATCACCCCTTGGTGTATGAAATATACTTTGAAGCCTCCAATTTGGTATTTGTGGCTGTTTCAGTCATGAGTTTCTTTGTTTTTAAGAAAACACAACGTTACTTACATGAGAAGCAGTCCTTAGAAACACTGTAACCACCTGTCATCCAAGAGAGCCACACCCCTAAGTTTGTATTACTTTAAGCTTTGATGGCAGTAAAACCAAACGATAATACACAAAAGCAGGTGAACAATCAAAGATGCCACACAGGTATATGTGTCATCATCTTGCCTAGCGACCTCTTACCAGTAGGCTAAAATGACCAGTTTGTGGCGTTTATGCACCTATAATGTTATTTTAATTTCACGACAGTAACATTTAATTTGTATCTACAAAACATGAATATTAGGATATGTTTCATATATGATGATACCATCATGTTGCCAGGCAACCATATAATGGCAAGCTAAAATGACTTTTCAATAGTAGAGCAGGGCTTGGGCTTGGATATTGCTGTACAGCTATTACAGAGAAGCGAATCAGCCACAGAGACCAAAACAGTTTCTTGCAGCAGGCTGTAAACGTTTTTATTTCTGCTGTAAAGTTGGACTGTCTTTTAATAACAGAGTCTGTGGGACTGACCTTTGGAGCCAGGCTCAAGTGGCCACTAGTGGAACTGCAGTCAACTACACTTCTTTGTTGGGTTTGTTTTTTAGCTCTGATGGTTACTGCTTGCATCATGAAATTAAAGTCATAGAGACTTGTGGTGAAATGTGTTTTCGATCTGCTAAAGATTTCCCGTTAGGGTTCATTTATGTCCTAAGATTAGTATTAAATCTGCACCGAAGCCTTATTAAAGCATATGTACGAACTACAAAAGGCAGCGGAGTGTGGTTTAGACAACAGATGCAGGGTGACAGTTCCTGTTGCACATTTTCCTCGACCGGCTTGCATCTCTGCAGACTGAAATTGCTGGGTGTGCTCATACTGGTGGTTTTCAGTACCTTTTTCACGTGAAGGCACGGCTCAGTTTGTGATCGTGCACGTATGCGGTCTGCAAAACGGGTGCTTTCATTTCGGCAGCTGGTCACAGTGATCACTAATTAGCAGAGACAAAGGAGCACGATGCGTGCAATTCTGTCTGTCGGGTGATTTAATTTCTCTTCTGAGCATCAAACACAAAGCAGTCAACCACAGCAGCAGAACTGGCCTCATGCAAATACCTACAGCTTTGGCCTTAAGCTGAAAGAAGACGACTTATTTAAGATCTAAGTTAAATAAAACCGTGTAGTTTGTCTGCTATGGCTTCCAAATCATCTACATTGTGACCTAATTTAAAGAAAAACAAAAATCTAACCACAGTATGGCTGTATTCATGTCTATCAGATCTTTCATTAGACGGTAGCCACAGCCTTCTATTGCTGATAGAGCAGATGACACCCACAGTAGCCACAAACGACCTAGATTAGTTTTCCTGCTGGGGTCACTTTTTTATTTTACTCTGGCCTTGAATATTAGGCATGCAACATGCAAACAGATCTGCAAAGGACAAGGAAAGATCACGATTCCAGAGGCTGCTCATCAGATATTCACAGCTCTCAACAATAAAATGATAAACTCAAATCAGTGTGTTTGAGCAACCTGTATAATCCTATTTTAAACCTTAACTTTATGGACTCTGGACTTTCAGTAGTAATAAAACTGTAAATATTCAGCACTCTATTGTGCTTTCGACTTGTCTTTGTGTCCAAAGGTCGTCCTTATGGGACACTTGTTTACTCTTTTTTTTTGTGTGTGTGGCTGTTTTAGAGGCCAAAGGCAGTGGAGGAAACGCTCATTCACTGTTACAGAAAATGTTCATAAAAACAACAGTCGCCATTCGTTTTAAATAAAGAGGTCGTTGCACGTGCAAGCGATTAGTTTTAGACTGCTCTGTTTGTGCTTACAGAAGCCCCACCCACCTGTTGTTCTTACCTTGTGTTTGTTAGGGGTAGCCAATCACAAAAGGGTTGTCTTAAAAGGAGGAGGAATGAAGCTAGATAGTTTTCCTTTCTTTTTTTACACACAGAGGATGGAGTGGGCAATAAATAAGCATTATTTTTAAGTGGCATGCTGGTATAGTGTGTTTTCCTTGTGAATCAATGAAAAAAAGCAAACACTTAGAGGTTTAAACAATCTAACAGTAATCAAAAGCTTCAGTTCAAAATCTGTGCTGATCTGGACGGCTGTATTTCCTCATATATTCAGACTTTAATTGGAGCAGGAGCAGTTATCAGCATTTTTGTTTCCTTCTGGACAACTCTTGGACATCCAGGTCTGCTCCCGTTGGATGGCATTGATCTCTAGGGCTCATGCTCAAGCTCTTCGCAGCTAGTTAGGTGGCAGTGGGTGATAGTGAGGGTGTAACTGTGCTCTGGGTGTTGCTGGCTAATGGCTCCGACAGCACACTGAGACAATAGCCAGGGAGGCCCGCCCCACAGAGAGCGAGAGAGAGATAACGATGTTACTAACAGCGAGTTTCACATGGGAACTGCTTGAATCGGGCTGATAGGAAAGAGGAAGGCCGAAGAAGGTTCAAGAAAGCCCCAAAGTAGAAACTGCCACAAAGTAGGCTTCCTTATTCCCACGGTGAACCGATGAAAGGTGAGATACAGAAAGAACAGATCAGAAAAAAGGTGGAGTGGAGAGATAAACAAGAACTGAGTGGCTGTCCTGTGTGGAGCTCTGTTTGGCTGCTTGAAGTCAGTTTTTAATCTAAATGGGCATGTTATCCAAATAAAAATATCATTTTCATCCTCCAATCAGCACGTTTCATCCCATGTAAATGTAATCCAGCTCAGAAAGATTATAGCTGGTGCTGACTCGGAGGCAGTCAGAGCTACTTTATCGCTACTGTGCCTCTGTTGGTTATTCGTTACATATTTTTTTTCATTTTATCGCTTAAGAAGAGTCATGACTGAACAAATAGGAGGCGTGTTGCTTCTTCTTACTGTGTTATGAGGCTCATCTGACTGGTGAAGGTTTTTGTTCATGAACTGATGATTTTGAGTTATTTTAAGCTGTTATAGAAAGTTGTGGACTGGCTTTGTTTGTCTCTAGTTGTTGAGTTTTTGTACTTTTCATTGGTGGGAGATATATTGTAGAATACAGAGGCACTGCTACAGTCTTTGAGCTTAAAATGGAGGTTGGATTGGCATTTATGAAGTACTCCTTTAATCTTTTTGACCATTCAAACGTGTTGCATAAGCTAAATTTACCCATTCATATGTGTAGGGCTTTAGTCTTTGTACTTTATCCGCCTTACATACTTAACTACATCCACATTAGAATCCCCATGTAGGCTAACATGCATATCTTTGGACTTTTGAAGAAAGCTAAAGTACCTTGGGACCATGTAAGCTCCTCACAGGAAGTTCAACCAGGAAATTTGACTCCAACACGATCAACCTATGAAGCGATAGTGCTAACCTCACTGCACCATCATGCAGCCCAGGATGTCAAGAGCACAAGAGTTTGTGATCTTGACATCCTAGATTCTCTAATCTAATGTGATCGTTGTTGATTTTCTGAAAAGCTAAAAACAAAAGTAAAAACCAGATAATAACCACTCTCCTTTCCCACTTTATTAGATGTTAAAGGCGCACTTGACCAAGCCGCTTATCCACTAATTGTATTCATGGACTTTGCATTGATCGCTGTTGTGCCTGGTAGTTCCCAGGATTTAAAGTTGTGGGCATCAGGCAGTTGAAAAGGAGTATTCATGCTCAGTTAACTCCTTCCGTGGTTGAATAAAGGCTAAAGGAAGAAAGACTGAGGCAATTAGTCTTAAATGCCCCTCTCAGACACAGCGGCACGCTCCGGGGCTTTTTCTATCTCCAAAATCTGCTGTTTTGAGTCATTATCCCTCAACCCTCCGTAGACCTTTAGATAGCTGTGCCCTGAAGCACGAGCTGAGCTGAGAAAATCCCATCAAGTTCAGATTTGGTTTGAAAGACATCTGGTGTGGAGCTGCCGACCAATGGCAGCGCAGCGAGTTCACCAGCATGTCATTCACTGGAGTATTTAAAACCTGGCGTGGCAGACGGCAGTCATGTGTAGTATTAGGTTAGTTTTGATGCTTCAGATAATAAGTGATTGATACTGTTCTCATGATTGTTGCTGGAGCTCGTTAATTCAGCTTCTTCTGGAGCTTTTTATTAATAAAATCCACAAAACTTCTATATGAACGTGTGGGTTTATGGGTGCGTATGTGTATGTAGGTGATTGTTTTTTGTTGTTTTTTTCCTTTGGTTTAGCATTGTGTCCTGCAGATAACCCGCCTGTAAAACCGCCACTGTTGTTTTTCCACTCAAACCTGACAAACAGCACGCAGCAGGAGCGAACAGCTGTTGTAACCACGTGCTTGTTGTGTTATAATTAAGCCGACACGTATCTAAACACAGTCTGACCTTTGCTCCCGCAGAACCTGATGGCCAAAGCGTTGTACGACAACATGCCGGAGTCCCCCGAGGAGCTGGCCTTCCGGAAAGGGGACATCCTGACCGTCATTGAGCAGAACACAGGCGGCCTGGAGGGCTGGTGGCTCTGCTCCCTGCACGGCCGCCAGGGCATCGCCCCCGGGAACCGCTTGAAGCTGCTGATCGGACCCATGTTCGAGGCTCAGTCGTCGGGCGCCGCCGCCGCCGCCCCTTCTCCATCTCAGAGCTATCAGCAGAAGGCTAACTCGGGGTCTCAGGGCCTCTACCAGGTGCCCTCGTCCCTCCAGAGCCCACAGCAGCAGAGTCAGCAGAGCATCTACCAGGTCCCACCGAGGAGTACTCTAGCAACTGATAACACACCAAGCAAGGTGAGACAGAGCTCATCAGTCAATCTGTCAGCTAGTTTGGGTTTCCTTTATTGACTCAGCCCAAGAAAGATACATCACTATGGAGCACAGCAATCAATAGTGACCATCTGATTTCACTGATTAGTCCTCCTTTAAAGCAAAGTTGAGGGGCTCACCAGTGAAACCACCTGGTAAGATGATTGGAGAGAAAAACTGTTATTACTGAGTCGTACTTTTTTCCCCTAATGCGCGCACAATGTTTTGCATTTAAATGCACTTTTACACACTTTCATCTGTAGCAAAGGGTCGCACATTAATATTTATCAGAGCGTCAGAAGAAGAGGAAATAACAAAATGGAAAAGGTTTAGAGTAACAGAAAATGGAGTCTGGTCTGTTCCCCAAACTCTGGATATTTGGAATCACATTGGATTTCTAAGGTAACATCAGCTGTGGCGGGTGTGGGAATGAGATGTGATGGGAAATGGCATTTGCGCGTTTACACCGTGATCCGTGAGGCTCGGCTCTCACCAGCGCGCCCACGGAAAGCAGAAAGGCCAAAGAGGAGATTGCAGCTCTGCCATGCGAAATGTGTGCAGGGTGTGCCGGGCCTGGCGCTCACCACAGATGAGGGTAGTGTTTTTGTGCACGGCTCCCATTTGGCTTTATTCCTGTATTGGCACACTGTGTTCAGCAGAGCCAGTCTAACCCGCAGAAAAAGTATGGAGAGAAATTGTGGAAAAGCAAACAGTACAGAGCTGTTTTTTGGATTTTGGTGGAGCACAGCTGCATTTAAATGCTTTAAACATGGTCACTGGCAAACACACTGGACTTGGTCATTTGCAGTATAGCTATATATACACAATTCTCCAAACAGCGTATCCATGTATTCATCATTTTATGGCCTAGATCGTATATCATTTAAAGTATATATCTTAATTTGCCTGCTGAAAAAAGCATTTAATAGTCTTAAATCACCTAGTTATCAGTTTATCAGTGTTTATACTCATAATTATAATCGAATTATTATTATTTCATTGTCATTTTAATTTCTGCACCAAACACTTTCCTAACTGTGGGGTAATAAGTCTTCTCTTGTGTTCGGTGTCTCCGATACTGCTGAGCCAGCTGAAGCCTTCTTTACTTGCTCTTGTTTTACACCACCAGATGTCTCGTACACTTGATTTAAATGCATTAAACAAGGGTGAGCAGTTAGCATGTCATTACCTCTTTACACATGGAAGTCACTGGCAGGTGTGCGCTAAAATACGACGGGAGGAAATTTCCCTGGTTATTCAAGCGTTTAACTAGTACGAGCATCTCAGACCAAGTCTTCCCTTCAGGAGGTGGATGGTAATTACATGCTGAATGAGCTTTTGATATCCCAAGGGCTATTTCCTTTAAAACAAATCAGCCCCAGCCATCATAGAAATGAGCTAAGGTGTTCATTTTAGTGGATAAACAGGCAGCAGGCGCCAGGGGCTTAGAGGACTCACTGCACAGGAGTTGCTGTGATAAAGTCAGTGGGAGCCAGGGGGCTGTGGGGAGAGACCTGTCAATCAGACACACACACACACACACACACACACACACACACAGCAGTAGCAGACCTGTCAAGCAACACCTCTCTTTTTCCGTAACAGGCTGCGAGGCTTAGCCGAGGAGCGGTATTAACAAGGCTTTGCGATAACATGGAAAATGAAATGCGCTCCTAATGAGAGTGTATTTCTGTGCCGTAATCGTGTTATTGGAGAGATTATATTAAGTCTTGGACGTTCGACTGGTCCTCCAATCTGCGGTTATCAAAGCGCTGCAATTTTCGGCGGTTGTTCCCGTCTATTGAATAGAAAGATTTCGGCTGCGTGTGTGTCGGTGCGTCATGACAAGGATCCGCTGTTTTCCAGTGCTGTCTGAATCTTGGACAGAAGCACAATCGCCTTCATTCGCCACAGACTGTTCTGTTAGATCTGGTTATCTCTAGTGAAACACTAAAAGAAAGGAGAGATGTTGTTGGTTCGTGCTCACCAATTAGCTTTCCAAGATTTAAGGAGGAGCACCTCCAAAGCTTGAGTAGACCTGAAGCTCTCCTGATTCAATCAGATTAATTTAACCCTGCATAAAACATTTATAGAAATAATCACACAAAAAAACCTACAAGTTGGTTCATTTTCAGGTTTATGGCTAACTAAACAGAACAGTTTGCCTCGGTGGTTGTTTTCACTATAAAATTTTTCATTTCAACCAGTTACTGACCAATTAGAGCAATGCTCCATTTACAGTCATATAAAAATAGCGTTCAGCTCTTTCAAATACTCCATTTTATCCCTTTTCTTAGCAGTAATTAAGAAGCTACTCTATTGTTTAACTGAATTTTATTTGAACTAATGTTCTGTTTTGAAGCCAAAACTCGTGTGTGGTTTGTGTTTTAAATTTGCTTTAATTCTGACAGTGAAAAATAGCTCAGGCTCAGTGTTTGCAGCCATTTATTATGTCCCAAGTGACAGAAAAACATCATCTCTCAAAGCTAAAGGCTGTGATAGAAACCTATAGTTATGTTAAGCCATCCTGGATATACATACAGGCCTCAGGTTTGGAGTCACTGTATGTTTTTGGTAGAGCAGAGACGTTTACTTTCATCACAGCACACTTTTTAAGGGCGTCTAATTATGAAATTATGGTAAACGCTGTTTTAAAAAGAAGAGCCTCTGATTGTTTGCTCTGAGCTCCACGGTGTTGCGCACCAATGAAATCCCGATCGGTCGAACGGTGTGCGCCCTGCGTCAGAGTATTTATGGAAATATTTGTTGCTGATGTGAAACCCCGGCTCTGGCCTTTGCTCTTGAAAGAAGCAAAGGCAGGCTTGTTTACTACAGCGCGTCAGTGTTGATGACAGGCCGGGCTCGCTGACTTATGGCCTCGTGTTGTTTTAACGGCGGCCGTTTTCATGTCGTCACGCGCAAACATGCGTTTGGTTTCCCAAATGGTTTTTGAGACTGATGCCGGCTTCCTAGACTGATAATCCCCTCTCGTATTACTCCGAAGCCGTCATCCCCTCCTGTGGAGAGAGGCCCCCGTATGCCATGAATGTGTCCTCGGAGTGGGGGGCGGAGGCGGGGGGTGTTGCGTGCCAGGCCTGCAGTGCAAATCCAGATTGGCGACTGGCTGTTTTCCCTTTCATGTGGCGTGGGGCTCCGGTATATAAGGCACACTGAGGTTTGGCGCTCGCTGCCACTCTGGCTCTTCGGTTTGGTGCTGCGGCCTTGTCCTTGGGTGACCCTCCTGGGAGGGTGAGCTACAGCCACCCCACCTCCCCCTCCCGTCCCCTCACATAGCCTTAAAGCTGGGTCCGTGTGGGACGGACGCCAGGAGCTCTCGGCCACACAAAGAGCCTCCTCACATGGAAGCCAGGAGCAGCCTTTTATCATGTGGCTCCCAGAGGCCCGTGTTTCATCTCAGCCTTGATTTCCTCCTCCTCCTTCTTCTTCTTCACCATCTCTGAAAGGTGTGTCTGTTTTCGCCCCGGTCACTGTTGTGACTCAGGCGCTGAGGTCACGGCGCCCAGTGATGGGCTGGGTTCAGAGTTCAAATATCTGCCCTTATCTGCTCCTTTCAGGCGGCCTTTTCATTCCTCCCTTCCTGCCTTCATGAAGTCTGCTCCTTGTATAGGCATTTCCTCCTCTCACCACGTCGTAGCCGTAGATGCAATCTGTTCATTGGTGCCGTAAAGAGCACAACAAAGGGTTTAATGAACTCAACACACAACTCAAGGAAGTTCCCTGATAGCGCTTTGTAGACTGCGAGGGTGTGCTCGTGTACCTTGATAAAGCTGTGCTTTTTGAAGTAACCAGGTTATGTGAGAAGAATATCTTGTTTGTTTGCCTCGGCCATATTTTCTCTGCCTAATCACGCGCACGGCAGTCTCAGCAGCAGATAAGTGAGTTATTTCTTCCTGGAGGAGGCCGGCTCCTTCAAACGCTCGCCATTGTCACATTAGTGATGAATCGCTGGCTGGCGAGATTCGACCAAGAGGGCACGACCATAAATCAGTCGCACCAAAAGTAATCTGCTCTGGGGTGAGCGCACTGACAGGACTTTCTCCTCTGGAAAAGTTTAAAGCAGACAGTGTGATAAAGTTGCAGAGGAAGGCCAAGAGAAGACAGGAAATGCTTTCTTGAAAGCATTTATAAAAACCAGAGCTTACATATTTTATCTTCTTTTTTTTTTTTTTAAGCCAGCCAACAATCCAAAAGACCAAAACAGATTCAGTTTCACATCACAGAAGGCAAACAAAACCAGGAGGTATTTACATTTAAGAAGCCAACGCTGGTTTCATTTTGGCATTTTCAGCCACACTAGCAGCTCTTTGGTTTACAGTGTGGGTCTGTCACTCCGCTGCTGGACAGAAATATCTCTCCGACCACGGGATGATTGGCATTAGATCTACTGCAGACATTCGCCTCCCCTCGATGATGAACCCTCATACTTGCACGGCACTTTTCTACTCTAACTGAACAGTCAAAGCACTTTTATTACAAGCTGCATCCAACCATATAATAATTTATACTACATTTCAAGTGCTTTTGAACCAACAAACACTCATATAGTCCAGGGTTCAGTAGTACACAGAAGAGTTTTAAATAGATGCACAGTTTCAAGTAAACCTTTAAAGTGTTTTTTAAATGAGGATAATACACTGACATAAGTGTCCTCACACACACACACCCAAAAACACACCTGTTATATCCTCATTAGATCCCTGTTAGATCTTCGTTTCCGGAGAGGGACTGTGAAGAAGTGCAACAGAAGAAGAGTGTTAAAGTACAACGATAAGCAAACATTTGGGCCGCATAACTTCTAAAAAAGGAGCAAACACATTTTTTCCTTGTCAATAAATAAAGTTACGCAGGTGAAAAGTATTCCATATCCTGGCTACTCACTACTTCACCTGTGAGGTATAAAAAGCTTTCCGCTGGTGAGCACCACCTGCCTTCTTCATTTACATCCAACCAAAGTTTCAGGTCATAAATCCACTGTGACTGTGAGGTGCTCCTACAGCTAACCATTTGTTGTCTCAACAACTTTAAAAATTAACTGCCGTGTTTTGTTTAGATTTTTATTGCGAATTGATTAAAAACAAATGTGTCCACTTGTGCTATTTCCATTCATTTTGGAAGCCTTAGCCTCAGCTGTGTGGGGGAGGAAGGGGCAGGTGAAATAAGAGCTAAGGGACTGTTATGTTTTTTGATAATGTATGGTTTCGAAATCTAAAGTTTGAGGATAAAATTCTGGATATTTTTTTGTGGGGGGGTGGGGCCCAGTTGTGTGTGGGCCCTTGCCCAA